GCAGGAGGCCCTGCCCGCCCTCCCCGCTGCTGCGCTGCCCGCAGCCCCCACAGACCTGGCACCGCAGGTGCTGCTTCCTGTCTCCTCGGATCCCAAGGGGAGGGGAAGGGGGCGCGGGCGCCTGGCCTGTTTTCACAGGAAGCGCGTCTCCCCGTTGGAATCGGAGCCGCTGGGAGGTGGGAGCCCCGTTCACTGCAAGGTTCCCGGGAGGACAAGGAGTGGGGTCTCCTGTTTCTTTTCTTTCTCCCCAGGACGTGAGCACAGGGCACCTCGACAGAAACTCACCAGCTCCTGGCCGTGGGAACAGAGCGCTCAAACCTGATATGATGCTACACCCACCCCGCACCGACCCCGCGATGCTACACCCACCCCGCACTGACTGACGGCGGTGTTTGGGGATCGGGACTACGAAGCTGTCGTGGACCTCGTCTCACGGACCCTGACAGCCACTCCAAGAGGCTGTTACTATCACGTCCCTATTCGTTGGGTGAGAAACCAAAGCTAAGCAGCTGGTGAGCGTGAGCACCAGGAGAGTCGGGGGTGAAGGTCACGGCAAGGAGGCGGGGCTCTATTCTGAAAACTGTAGGAAGCACAGACGTTTTCTGAGGAGGGGACCAATGTCGGACATCTGTGTTTCAGAAAGATAATAGTTACTGCGTAGTAACTTGAGGATGAGTGAAAGGAGGCGAGCCTAGGAAACCAGCCTTTCTCTCCGGCAGGAATCAAGATCAGCCTTACCTGCGTGGCTAGAAGGCGACTGGAGGAGCAGCAGGAAGAAGGGGAGGCGGCTGGGCAGAGAGGAGCTCCAGAAACTTGCCATCTTCACTCTCAGGGGACACAGAGCCCCAGCGGGACGGCCCAGCAGAGGCCCTGGCCTGCAGGCAGGCAGCACGCGGCCTGTCCCACCACTGAAGACGCCTGGGACAGAAGGAGGGCAGCGCTCCCGCCTCCCCTCCTCCTGCAGCTGTGCCCCACGTCATCCTTGCCAGGCGCTCACACAAAGGGCCACAGACCCAGGCGATGACAGGGTTGGCCTGCCCACCCCCTGAGCTACAGAGAGGAGGCTGCCTGGCACCAGCCTCCCTCCCAGTGACCCAGCCTTTGAAGAGGCTCCTAGGATCTGACCAGCTGGGTTCGGACCGCTCACTCCCTGGACCTCAGGGAGCGGCTTACCATGTCTCTCCTACCCCCTGTCCTCCCAGTATTAGCCAAGGGAGCGGGATCATTGTTGGCCTTTTAAAAAGGAAGGAACCTTGAGCCTTCGTTCCCTCGTTCTGATGCCTCATGACTGTAACTGCCGCCGTCTTCCTCCTGGCTAACTTCCTTTCCTCCTCTGCAAACCCAGGTCCAGGCCTTGTGTCCCACGTAGAGCAGGCCCCTCGGCTTAGTTAGCTTCCTGCCCCCGAAGGACAGTCAGGAAGGTCGGGACAGCGGTGGCCTTGCAGGGAGGGGACTTCCTCTACCCCACGGTTCTTCCCACTGGCCTGATGGTCACATAGACATGAAAAGACAGCAAGAGAACATGACCAACTTAATTACATATGTGTGCACGGGAACCCCGACACAGGAGAGTCAGAGGCCCCCAGGCCGGAGGGGCTCAGGACAGAAAAGTAAAATGAGATGCTGCTGACATTCCAAGCTCGGGCTAGGGCTAGGGAGACCATGGGGCGTCAAGGGTTGTGGCAGGGGTCAGTAACTAGAAGCTTGCCCTGCCCTATAGGAAGGTGAAAGGGTTATCTTTGATAATCTGTTAGCATAGACATGGCCCCTAATTTAAAATCTTCTAGGCAGTTAATGAGGACAGAAGTTTCACGAGACCACAGGATCTTGGTTGCCTTTAGGTCAAAACAATCCACACACCACTTGGGGTGCCTCCTTCTGATCCCATGCAAGTTGAACATCAGGAGTTGATAGCCACCTATGCTCAGAGAGGCAAGTATGGGAGGTTAGCAAGGTTAGTAGGTGTCAGCATAGCCAAAGCCAGAACAGACACGTCCCACAGCCTGGCTCCCTCACGTGTCCCACACCCTGGCTCCCTCACGTGTCCCACACCCTGGCTCCCTCACGTGTCCCACACCCTGGCTCCCTCATGTCCCACAGCCTGGCTCCCTCATGTCCCATAGCCTGTCCCCCTCACGTGTCCCACAGCCTGGCCCCCTCACGTGTCCCACAGCCTGGCCCCCTCATGTCCCACAGCCTGGCCCCCTCAGGTGTCCCACACCCTGGCTCCCTCATGTCCCACAGCCTGGCCCCTCACGTGTCCCACAGCCTGGCCCCCTCACGTGTCCCATAGCCTGGCCCCCTCACGTGTCCCACAGCCTGGCTCCCTCTCTGAGTCCTCAGTGTCACAGGGAAAGAGATGTGGGATGGGAGTGTTTCCCTTACCCCCTGAGATCAGCCAAGATGAGCGTCAGCATATCGGCGACACCCTGCGACCACAGGGCTGTGCACACAAGTTAACATGTGCCCCTGGTGAAGCTGCGAGCACCCAGTAAATGGTCGCTTGCGCAGGTGGCTGCCCAGGATCAGTGGTGCATAAGTGCTCCCGATGCCGTGTGAAATGTATCGCACACAAATGAGAGAGCTCCGTTGTACTCTTAAAAATCAGTCCTTTTTAATTTCTTTGCACATTTGCTTCTGTTTCAAAATCTGAAGGTATAGAATAATATACTTTGAAACATTTCCCTCCCAGCCATGTGGAGCAATTTCGGTTTCCTCTGAACCCTGCACGTGTGTGCACTGGAGAGGCGACAGGAGGCTGTCCTGGGGTGAGGACTGGGACTGCACACCACCCCTCCTTTTCTGTAAAAACATGGTAACAACATGCATGTTGGATATCTTCACGTATCAGTGTCTAGAGAACATACTTTATACAGCTACACAATCTTTTATTGCATGAATGTATCATACTTATTTAACTAGTTTTTCAAGATATTGAGGTTGTTTAAATTTTTAGAGGTTTTTTTTTGTGTGCGTGTGTTTTTAATTAAATCTTTATTGTTCAGATTATTACAGTTGTTCCTCTTTTTTCCCCCCATAGCTCCCATCCACCTGGTTCCCACCCCACCCTCTGCC